TGTTTCCATGTGCAGGGTTTTGCGGGAATATCTCACAATGATTACATCAAGTCATCATTATACCTGCACACCACTACAGTACATCATGGTATACCTATTGAAACAGACGGACTATGAAGGTATATGGGATTTTCCGAACATCGGGGTTAGCTGAATTGGGGTCCTTATAATAAGGATCCTACTATTTAGGGTACTTTTTTAGGGTCCCCTATTTTCCGAAACTCCCATATTCGCGCTGTTCATTCAGACCCTTGCTCCCGACCAACTAGTTAGAACAGTTTTTTGAGCTATTCAATCCTGGCATAAAATGCCCTCAACCCTAAACCAAAAGCCAGTAACCTAAACCCCTTAACTCTAAACCTCTAAACCCCAAATCCGAAACCCTAAACCCCAGACCCCTAGACCCTAAATCCCTAAACCCTAAACCCCTAAACCCCAAACCCCTAGACCCTAAACGCCTAAACCCCTAAACCCCAAACCCCTAAACCCTAAACCCCAAACCCCTAGACCCCTAAACCCGAAGCCCTAAACCCCTAAATTCCCCTAAACCCCAAACCCAAAGGAACCCTCAAAGCCAGGCCTGAGCTCCTTCTCCGCGGCCTCGAACTGCGTGCGATCCTGCTCTTGCGGGCTCTGGCTTCAAGGTTCACTATAGGGTTTAGGGGTTTAAGGGTTTTTTTTTTGGACCTAAGGGCTATGGTACAGGGTTTAGGGGTTCATGGTATAGGGTTTAGGGGTTTAAGGGTTTTTTTCTTGGACCTAAGGGCTATGGTACAGGGTTTAGGGGTTCATGGTATAGGGTTTAGGGGTTTAAGGGTTTTTTTCTTGGACCTAAGGGCTATGGTACAGGGTTTAGGGGTTCATGGTATAGGGTTTAGGGGTTTAAGGGTTTTTTTCTTGGACCTAAGGGCTATGGTACAGGGTTTAGGGGTTCATGGTATAGGGTTTAGGGGTTTAAGGGTTTTTTTTTGGACCTAAGGGCTATGGTACAGTGTTTAGGGGTTCATGGTATAGGGTTTAGGGGTTTAAGGGTTTTTTTTTTGGACCTAAGGGCTATGGTACAGTGTTTAGGGGTTCATGGTATAGGGTTTAGGGGTTTAAGGTTTTTTTTTGGACCTAAGGGCTATGGTACAGTGTTTAGGGGTTCATGGTATAGGGTTTAGGGGTTTAAGGGTTTTTTTTTGGACCTAAGGGCTATGGTACAGTGTTTAGGGGTTCATGGTATAGGGTTTAGGGGTTTAAGGTTTTTTTTTGGACTTAAGGGCTACGGTACAGGGTTTAGGGGTTCATGGTATAGGGTTTAGGGGTTTAAGGGTTTTTTTTTGGACCTAAGGGCTATGGTACAGGGTTTAGGGGTTCATGGTATAGGGTTTAGGGGTTTAAGGGTTTTTTTCTTGGACCTAAGGGCTATGGTACAGGGTTTAGGGGTTCATGGTATAGGGTTTAGGGGTTTAAGGGTTTTTTTTTTGGACCTAAGGGCTATGGTACAGGGTTTAGGGGTTCATGGTATAGGGTTTAGGGGTTTAAGGGTTTTTTTCTTGGACCTAAGGGCTATGGTACAGGGTTTAGGGGTTCATGGTATAGGGTTTAGGGGTTTAAGGGTTTTTTTTTGGACCTAAGGGCTATGGTACAGTGTTTAGGGGTTCATGGTATAGGGTTTAGGGGTTTAAGGGTTTTTTTTTTGGACCTAAGGGCTATGGTACAGTGTTTAGGGGTTCATGGTATAGGGTTTAGGGGTTTAAGGGTTTTTTTTTTGGACCTAAGGGCTATGGTACAGTGTTTAGGGGTTCATGGTATAGGGTTTAGGGGTTTAAGGGTTTTTTTTTGGACCTAAGGGCTATGGTACAGGGTTTAGGGGTTCATGGTATAGGGTTTAGGGGTTTAAGGGTTTTTTTTTGGACCTAAGGGCTATGGTACAGTGTTTAGGGGTTCATGGTATAGGGTTTAGGGGTTTAAGGGTTTTTTTCTTGGACCTAAGGGCTATGGTACAGGGTTTAGGGGTTCATGGTATAGGGTTTAGGGGTTTAAGGGTTTTTTTCTTGGACCTAAGGGCTATGGTACAGGGTTTAGGGGTTCTTTTTTTTTTTTTTTAAGCTCCTTTTTCCCAGTCGCCAATCCAGCTTCCAAGAAGGCCCGGGGGCCAGGAGTGCCCGACAACCTTACAGCCAGGCGAAAGAAAACGAACCCTCAGCCCTCAGTACAGCTCCCGCAGAAGGTTGACCATGTCCCGCCGCAGAAACATCACCGCCACGTCTCGACTGTATCAATCATCCCGATCAAGAACCCCCGGGCCAGCATCGCCAGAGGAACGTCCCCGCTGACCATCAGCATAAGCAGTCGCTCCGTCCATATACACCTGCCATCGCCGGTACAGCTCTGAAACTGCCTTGCCACCGAGCTCACGTTCAACCATTGCCGTGGTAAGGAGGCCACCTTTCCAACGAGAGAAGAGAACCTCCCACTCCTCCTCCGTCTGGGGACGCACAAGCAAGCTCAGACCTGGCAGGCATAGTAGAAGCGACCAGCAGCGTGTCAACCGCCTCCTGACTGTCGTCCCCCTCAGACCCGAGGCAGCCAGCGCCCACAGGAGGCAAAGCCGAGCCCGGACCCCCTGGCAGAGCGGCGAGGCGAGCTTCAGCTGCACAGGTGTCGTCAGCCATGAAGGCCCACTGCGACTCCAAGAGGCTCAGCACACCACGTCCATGCAACGCCAACACCTGGGAGGTCGACATTCGCCCATTCGCCCAGGCCTGAAAAACTTCCTGGTACTCCGCAAAGTTGATCGCAATGTTGTCATCAGCGACCTCCCCGGAGTCCCCCGGCAGAGTGGCAGGAAGCAGCTGGGTCGGCGGCACGGGGGCGGCAGGCAGTGAAGGCTCCAAGACCGGAGTAGGGATGAGATCCTGATCCGGCTCATCGTCCCTCCACAGCCGCAAGGTCATGGTCGCAATGCCGTCCTCCGAGATTGGGAGGCGAATGCATCGTGCCGTCCGCGGCTCATCCTGACTGCCAGTTGACATTTCCACCACCAAAATGCGACGCTTGCGGCCCACTCCAGCTGAAGGTGTGGCAAGAGCATTCTCCTCCTGTAGCCCCTCGAGGTACTGAAGCTGCTGCGACTCTTCCGCCTCAATGGCATCTTGTTCGCGTCGGAGACGTTGTTCTTCAACCAGACGATCATGCCGTGCCTCCTGTTCATCCGCCGCGAGAAGATCCACATATTGCCGCGATTCCTCGAGGCTGTCCTCCAGGTCCGGCGGGGGAGCTTCCCCCAGGGGGCGTAGTTGGCCGGCCGACCACCCGGAGCCTGGCTCAGCATGCACTGCAAGAACCCCCGTGCTCTCCGTAGTTTGCGTGTCGAGGTCGATCGCGGGCAAGGTAGCTGGGAGAGGCTCGGTCACGTTCGGGATGTTGTCAGAGTCGGAGTCCGGGAGCGGTTTCGGGAAGAGCATGACAGGGATCTCGAAGACGACTTCTCCCATGAGCCAAGCGACTAGAGGCGCTGATCGGCAGAAAGGCTTCGAAGGCCCGAAACCAATTGTCAGCCCATTGGACCTCCTGCTCCGAGACGGCTGCTAGGTTCTGATCCCTGAAGGCGACAAGAACTGCAAGCAGCTGAGCACCCTCGTCACGAAGATGCCCCAACAGGAAGCCCTCTTGAGCGCGGGTGCACCTGTAGTCCAGCCAACTCAGAAGGTGTTCAACCTGGACCGCTCTCAATCCCTTCGGCAAGTCCTCGAGGCCCCTCTGGAACTTCTGCAACAAGTTCTCCCACACCGCTGCCGGCATAGTCCCAGTCCGGGGTTGAAGTGCATCCGCAATGCTGGTCTGCATATAGATGGACTCGTCGTCCTCAGTGTCCCGAGGCTCTGAAGGAGGCGTTCTCGGTGGCGGAAGTGGAGGCGCAGGGGAGCTCGCCGCCTGGGTTGTAGCAACTTCCAAAGCAGCTCCAATGGCAGACAGCAAGCCACCCAAGAGCCGATTGACCGCCATGGTGAAGGTCAAGCGGTCCGCCAAGTTATGCTCCAAAAAGGTTTCAACAATGGCGGTCGTAACCCTCTCCGGCAGAACGTCTGTGCCGATGGGCTCGTCTATGTCCCGGACCCCCAAAAGAAGCAACCATGTGTCCAGGGCCTCCTCAACCGTGAGAGGGCCATCAGGTCCAGTACCACCTGCCCCCGCGGCCTCCGAGGACGACGCTGGCATGTCCCTCGAAGCTCCTTGTTCCCGGCTGGCCTGAGGCGGGGATCGGTGGGTAGGTTTCTCCGACCGAGGCAGTGGGGCTCGAGCAGCAGGACGTGCCTTGGGCGTCGGCCTGGTAGTGGCCGGCATCGGTGTACCTCGGCACTTGTGCTTCGCCATGGCTGACAGATTCACCCTTTCAGTGGTCGTAGGTGCCGAGGGGCGATTCAAAGAGCGGGGTGTAGTAGAGGCGTGGGGAGTCCGCGGGCGAGAAGGTGCTCGTCGGCGGCGAGTAGGTGCATTCTTGAGCCATCTCTTGTTGACCCCCTTGCGATCCATGAGGGAGCTCACATCATCAGCGGCCTCCTCAGCACAGGAACGGTTGGACGAAGAAGCATTGCCAACCGAAATGTCGTCCACATCAACATCTCGAGCCTTCAAGCCGTGGTAGTTGTAGAGGTACCAGAGCTCCGACTCCCTGTCAGCAACCCATTCAGAAGCCTGTGGCGGCCTGGAAGAGTCCGGTGAGCCCAAGAAGGTGCCCAGCTGGCTGAGAACTTCTCTGTAATAGGGGAGTGCGAGGGAGCGATAGCTACCATTGTCCCTGGCTCTGATGAAGGCCACCATTTCTTCGAAGACCCCATGCAGGTTGTAGCCCGCGTGGTAGAGATCGTGGAAGTCGCCCACGCACCGGCCCACCCACTCAAGCCGCATGAGGGAGTGAGATCGGAAAGCCGGTCCAGTAGAGGCACGGAGGTGTCGAATGAAAGGAGGATCGCGTCGGAGTTGGTTGAACTCTTCCCGGCGTTGGGCTCGGAGCATGGTCTCCTGCGGTGGCGCGGGAAGGGAGGCCAGGTTCGGGTTCACATTGCGGAGACCTTCGTAAAGTCCCTGCTGGAAGGGGTACTCATGCTCCAGGAACTCCTCAAGGATATGGGCCTCCACAAAGGTCACCCAGACACGGAGGTCCAGGTGGATCTCCTCAGGCGCCAGGTTGGAGACGGGCAGCTCCAAGGTGTTCCCAATAGCCACAGCCGCTCTGGATGCGAAGTTCGTGTAGGTGGCAAAGTTGCGGTGGGAGGCAGTCCGGGCTAGCATCGCGAGGGCATCCGACATACGAAGCCCTCGTGCTGCCAGGTCTCGTCCTCGGAGAGTTGCCTCTGTGAACCAGATCGGCGGCCAGTTGCCGTAGTCATCCGGGATTGGCGCGAGCACACCTGGGAGCTGGGCGAAGAAGGGCAGAATCGTACCGAGGGCGGGCAAGAGAAAGTACATGTAGAAGGCTCCAAAGCCGGGGTGGCGATCGCACATTGGAATCACACGCTCGGCTGAAAATCACAAATACGGAGAGGCGGGTCTGATCCACACAGTCACTCGAGCCTGCTGTTCAGCAAATCAGACAGGGCAGTCTTCACCACGGTGAGCAACAGCGCACGAATTGGTAGGTCCGAGGTTCACCCCAACCCTTGTACTAGTTCATAGCCTCCGCAGGCAGGCTCATCTGAACCCCACTCGCCCAAGGCAAGTCCCTCTGTTGAATCCAGGTCGAAAGTTTAGCTTGCCAAGCTGCACGATCCAAAGCATAAACCCTCCACGGTCCCCCACACACTGTATCCATGGCCTTGTCCAAAGAGTGCAGCCGCGCGAAGAAACGTTCCGGGTGGGACAGCCCTGCATCTTTGGCCTTCTGCCACCATTGCCTGTCACGGAACATTTCCAGGATTGTGGAGATCGGGGGAAACTGTTGTTGCGAGGCCCTGACCCTGTGACCAGCAAATGTCCACCACCGAGTAAGCCAGCAGGTGCTCCACCGGGGACACCCTGCCACATGGAGGGAGTACCGGGCACTTCGCACCGCTCGTTTACGGAAGGCGGGCCAGTCCTCATCGGCTCGTTTTCCAAGCCGCAAAAGCCACGTCAGCAGAAGAGCCTGGAACGAGTTGACGAGGGCGAGCGCCGGACGATCAGGGGGAAGAGCGGCGATGCACCAGAGAGCAGTGTTGGAGATAACACGATGCATTAGCTGAACCCTCCCTTTGGCCTGAGTCTTTGAGCGGAACAAGTGCTTCAAGCCCCAAAATTTGGACCTGGCCCGGGACAGGAGTGGCTGTATAAGTTCACTCATGCTCATCCCTACCCTCATCTTCAGGCCCATCACCGGGAGGTGGTCAGAGGCCTCCAAGGTGACGCGATGTAGTCGGAGCTTATGTGGTCCTGGGCAGTAGGGGGAACAGTAGAGGACACACTTGGCGATGTTCAGAGTCAGACCAAATCCTTGTAGAACCTCTGCTAGCTGCCCGAGGCGAACTCCGAGTGTACGACAGTCAGGCCCCCAGAGGTAGCCATCATCCATATACAGGAGGTCCTCCTCCAACATGTCATGGAAAAGGTGCGAACCCTGATCCCACGAGGACTTAACCCTGGCCTGCTCCAACGCAACCTCCATGAGGAACGAGAAAAGGATCGGAGATTCGATCGATCCCTGTTTGATTCCAGACTTCATGGCCAACAGACTCGAGCCCCAGCAAGTCTGGAGGACGGCCTCCACGTCGACCAGCAGGGCGTGGAAGCACCGGTATTCGGCTGTGTCGCCGAGTCTGGCGCGTAAAGCAGCAAGGAGAGCAGCCCGATTAACTGAGTCAAAGGCTTTTCGCACATCTACCTTGACCACCCCTAACCCTGCCTTCCATTCTCGTTCTAACTCGCAGAGCTTCCACAGCGAACAAACCACGTCACATGTCTGTCGTCCTGACGAGGCGCACTGAGAGTGAGTCCGTGGAGCTAGTTTAGGAGCGATGCGGTTGACGAGGAGGCGTGAGAAGAGTTTGGCTGCTGAGGAGCCAACTGCTATGGGCCTGAGGTCCGACGGAGCAGTAGGGGAGTCAGTCTTGGCGAGCATGATGACAAGGGGCCGATTCCAATCTCGGGGCACAGTCTGTGTACACAATGTACGATTCATAAACTCCAGTAGGTGCTCAGGGCCCCCAGTCGTCTGCAGGATGCCGTCCAGCAGTTCCCTGGATGTGAGATCAACCCCAACCGACTTCCCCTTCCGTATCTGCGAGACCGCCTTGGTGAGCTCTTCGATGCTGAACGCCTGGACCGGCCCCACGAAAGGGGGCAGTGGAGGAAGGTCATCCCCGGAGTAAACCTCAGTAAGGTGTTGGTGCACAGACTGATGAGGATCACAGGCTTGGGCATCAGCGTAGACGAGGTCCCAACCCGTCGCTTGAACCCGGGTCTCATCTCGGAAAGCCTGCCAGTCCCCCTCCGTAGCCCTTCGAATCCTCGCGCTCTCCCAGGACCGACGAGCCTCTCTACGAAGGCGAAGAGCGGTTTTCCAAGCAGCAGGGGAACGAGACGTCTTAGCCCGTCGAAAGGCCTCCTTCACCGCACGGGGGTCCCGGAAGCACTTACTGGGGCGTGGTCGTGTGCACTGAGCAGCTAGCTGTCGGAGAGCATCCTCGTGCAGTGCACCCTGAGCCAGAAGCGGAGCTCCAGCAGTTCGTGGTCAGTGCCCTGCAGCATGTAAGAGTCCTCGTGGATGTAGAGAGGAACCCCTTTTGTAGCCCCAAAGTCGATCTGATGACCCTCACAGCCCTCGCGTCGGGGCCTGCTGGTAGGAGTCGGGAACTGCCGTGACGGCGGAGGGCAAAGCCGAATTCCCGCTGCCGAAAACTGGTCCAGCATCATGATGGATTTGCCCTCAAGGCCAAGAGCTTCAACAGCCCCAGACCCAGCAACCCAGCCTAAGTGAGCATTGGAATCCCCTTGCAACAGGACAGGCCTGCCGTCCGAAGGTCGCCCCTTGAGGAACTCCAGGACTTCCTGCTCGTGCTTCTGAACCGTAAGCCCAGGAGTGAAGTGAAAGGTTGCAACCCAGAATTGAACCGAACTTCGCAAAGACTTCAGCAGGAACCAGGTACCCTTCCCTTTGGCGACCCTGCGAATAACTGACCACGCCAGGGGCGAATAGAGAAGCCCTGTCCCTCGCCACTGTGAAGAACCCTGATGACCCACAAGCCTGTACCCTTCCTTGGTGGTGGTGGTCGCCCAACCTGTGCGTGAGCGAGGAAGTTCCTGTAGAAGAAAAAGATCACTGTCGAAAACCGCCTCACGTGTAGCCGTTTTGACCAAGTCGCAAAGCGTGTCGGCCGAACATCCTCCAAGGTTCCATCCGAAAACTCGAAAACCCCGGTCCACCGGCCGAGTGCCGGCACACTGAGCCTCAGCGGATAGACCCTTGGATCCAAAACAACTTGTCGAAGGCAGAGCACCTAAGGTGCGCTGTGTCTGCATGTCAAGGAAAAGAGAGGAGGCACTGCTTTGCCCCTCTGAATTCGGCTTGCCGGCCCTGGCCTCGTGTTGACTCCGGAGCAGCAAATCATGCAAAGCGGAGAGGCTCGGATCCATTCAGCGTTGGGTCTGCTGTAGCGCATCCCGCAGCTGCTGAGTGCCAAGCTTGGTCTCCGTCTTCAAGGCCTTGAGATCGAACCACGGCTTGCTACCTGCACGCCTGTCCTTTGGGAAATTTGTACTTAAGTACATTTTTTTTCTAAGGACAGGCCAGCGTCACGCTGTTTTTTGTGCTTTCGGAGGCTTGCGTGTTGGGGGACCTGAGCCGGGAGTGATGGAAGGCAGCCACTTGAGCCAAAAAACAAAAAAAATAAAAAACAAAACAGTTCTGGCGGATTTCAAGCAAAAACGGAGAGATACATGTGTGCATTATATAGTATGTGTATGTATTTTGTAAGCAAACATGTGTTGTGTAGCGTTTAGAAGAACCCCAAAACCCTGAAAAAGACCTTTCCCTTCCTTCTCTCCTCACTTTCGCACAGAATGCAGCAAACATGTCGCGTGAAATGCCCAAGCTTCGTAAGCATCGGATGACATCAGTCACGATTGCGTTGTCAAGCACGTAGATACGTCCTAATAAGTAATTCCGTATAGATTGTGGCAACCGCAGTCAGGACAAACAAAGGCTGCATCAGGGGAAAGTAGCTGCGATATTTGTTCGGCCATCGCAGTAATGTGACACGTACGTAGACAAACAGTACGTTCTTTACTCCGGAAGCCACAGCAAAGTTGGACCCCAGATAAATAATTTAGCCACCGTGCGAGCCCTGAAAACTACACACCCCGCGCGGAGCCACCGCGAACCCTTAGAAACCTACACACCCCGCGGGGCCTAACCCATCAGACCGCGGCTACACCATAAACCCTGGCTATCATCAAGCCAATAAACGCCAGCAAAGCACCCAACCCACAAACACGGGCCGAAGTAAACCCCAAACCCTATTATTCCGCTGTACTATAAGCCTACACGCAAACAATTAAACGTATCAACGAAACCCGAGGAAGCCTGACAAACTGAAAAGCCTCACCCTCCAACCCCAAACCCCAAACATCAAATGCCAAGCCCCGCAGACCCTAAATCCGAAACATCTTGTACCCACATGTACCCCGAGCAAAAGCAGGCCCTAAGCCCCAAGCCCAATTTCTCAATAGCTTAAACCCCCGACCCTACAGTATGTGAGGCCAAATATATGATATCTGAAGACTCCAGCGAGAATATGCAGGCCTAGATTCCGAAGACTCAAACCAACCCCTAAACCCCAAACCCCAAACGCGAAGGCCTAAACCCGAAACCCTAAAAACTTAAACCGCCAACTCCAAATATTATATATGTACATATATATATATATGTACATATATAATATTTGGAGTTGGCGGTTTAAGTTTTTAGGTTGTCACGAAATCTGAAATTGCCCAGCCCACCCCAGCGCAGACACGACTGCTCGCAAGCCACTATATTTACCGGCATCCATGCACGCTCATGCATGAGTGGCAAGCCAATGCGCCAACAGATGTTGCCCGAAATGTTATTTGGGCGGCATCGCGTAGATCAAGCTATGCAAAATTGTTGCACATGCACTCACGCAGCTATATATAGGGCGCCCCTGCGAAATGATATTTGGGCCTATAGCTGTGGCAAATCTCACTCAGATGTTGCCCGAAATGATAGTTGGGCCTGAGCAATATATCAAGCTATGTGAAATCGCAAAAGTTGCCCAACGAATCGAACTGAACCGCTTCTTGTTTTACCGCCCCGCCAGCCAGCAGTTATACTGCAAGAGCCACCTTTGCAGCACTCGGAGCGACAGCGTAGCGGCGTGCACGGCCCCACGGGCACATTTCATGACTTTGCCGACAAAGTCCTCCTCGAGATTGCACCCGGCGTACCGGGGATTCAATCGGCTGTATGTCAATCTGCAAACGCATTCGCAATGATATTGATGAAACTTTGGCCTGATCTTATACCTGAGTGCGGTTCTGCTCATATTCTTGATCGTTAGCACACTCCATGCTTGCATGTAATCACATATTTAGACGGGAGGCCGTGGCTCCAGCATCTCGAGATATCGCGATGCCAGGGCCAGGTAGGAGTGGCAATACCATCTGCCGAGCCTTGGATCATCACAGACTTCTACAAAATTCGTTTTTGCACAACAGGGCTCCACACACACGCAACACCGGTGCAGCAACGGTTCTGCTGCGCCAGCATTGCCTGCTCATCCGACAGCCAGATTGAGCAGGCGTCCAGCAAATTCGAGAATGCTGTGATCGACCAGGCATTCACTGCCGCCAATCGAAGCTCGGGAATCGTTTGGGAAACCTCCTTAGGCCCAAATCCTATACAAACCACAGCTGAATACAAGCGTGGACCGCAGATCGTCAAGCAGAGAATATCGCAAGGCAAGAGGCAGACAGCCGTTCGGCTAAGTACGCCATCCTTATATAGGCACATGCAATGTTTGTGCTTTGCTCCCTTTGCGCTCTCCCTATACTCTCCCTCTCTGCTGAATTATTGGTGTGCCAAGCAACAAGACACGGTTTGCATATCCTTTTCCCGGCCCCTTCGGGTACTCCAATGTGACCGCATCGATTCCCAGCTTCACCAAACCTCAGATATATTTTGCGGATGCAGCACGAATTGTCAGTACGGAGTGGTTCCAGCAGCCGAAAATACGAGCAGCTGGGTGACTCAGTCCATCAAGAATGCTGGGTCGGATATGGTGCTCCGTGCACCACATCTGAAAGTCCACATGCAGGTGATGCAACCTTTCATCCCACGTTTCGTAAGCCTGAAACTGCGGAGAAAACTTCGCCAGCTCCATAACATGAGACGCAGTGGCATCCCTCTCAGTTCCCAGATACAGGCAATGGAGCAAATCTGGATACTCACAGGAGTGGTGGTAGCCAGGAATTCTCCACATCCTCGAATACGACACTTTGCGGCGCAACATGCACGGCGGACACGCACTTGGTAATTGTCTAGAGCCTGAACGCAAAGTTAAAAGTTTCCAAACATAAGTCAAGCCTGGTGACGCGATGTTTGCACCAACGCCTAAGACAAACGAAGCAGCGCGTGCAATAAGTGACACCCGCGACACAACTCAAGCCAGCTCCACACCACACTTGCATTAGAGCACCATGCCGCCTAGCTACTATCATTCGAAGCTTCATCCAAGTCTGCCTGGTTATCGAAGCCCTCACGCATGTCAGCCCAATGCTTTCCAGGTGTGCTGCCATCGCACAAGCATCTCGGGCAGATTCTGCCGGCGTTCTGCTCACGAGGAGCATTGCTAGCAAGGTTCCCGTAGCTTCTACATTGTTCCAACCATTCCCTTTTGTGCTTCCAATCTCCCTTCGATATGACAGGGTGCATGGTCCATCCGTGTTGGCCTTCGCTGGCGGGGTCGCCACAAATCCGAAAGGAATCGGCGTAGTAGCGCTGTAGCGCCTGAAGCGTGATATTCTGGCCGTTGTCGTAGACAAATCTGTCTGATCGCACAACCTCAGCCATGATTCACACACACTGTGTGCATGTGCACATCCGCTGCACGCATACATAAGCGACGTCTGGAATTCACATAGATGCATTAGAGGAATCTAAAACACCGGCCAGGGCACACAGAACGGGAACTTCTGCAGCATCGAGTCGCCCCGGTGGATGGCCAAGGGCGAAAGCGACAGGATCAAGATGCTTTTGCTCCTCTTCCCAGTACCCTCATCGCCGTGAATCGACACGGCCACCGCTTTTTGCCTGGCCTCCTCCGGCCAGGACTGCACCGGATGATTCCTTGTATATGTTGCCGGATCGACATATGAAACATTCCACGTACTGCACTCTAGAAAACAAACAAGACACAGTCCACACACACTTGCATGCTGCGAGAAAAACGCATCCCCCATGGCTCGCTCTTGGCCTTCTGCCACCAGTCCAGCCAGTCGACAGTGCCCGCCCTTATTGATTGCGCAGTGTGGATGGAGAATTCAAAACATCACGACATCACCAACATGCGAGAGCATCTATTCCAATCTATGCATATGCACGCATGCAATGCCAGCAAGCATCAGCTCTGCGATCAAGCCAGAGCAAACCATGCTCTTAAAGAGAATATGAGGCAACAGCACCGGCAGCGTTTGCATGCACTTATTCTCAGTCGACTGGGCCCTCTTGCTCTTCTTCTTGGGGTTTCGCCTCCTCGGCAAACCAGCCCTCCTCAAGCGACAATTGATTTGTCGTCGCACTTCTTGTTCTCGTCGCGCTTCAGCACGCATATCTTTCATCATGAGGGACACCGAACTCAAAGGGCATACTAGTGGAGCCTCGGATATCCTTGCATACATTCCGACATGTTCTTTAGACGGCATACATATATTATTTATATTTAGACATCTAATATAATTCAGACCGGCGACATCGCTCTTCGAGGAAGATACAGCCTTGCTCAGTTGCTCCTCGATGTGTTGCGCACAACGTCCTGATGCGCCCAAACTCGCAGCCCACCTGGTACCTTGGAACCGGGCATCTGCGTGCATGATTTGCCAAGGCATGCAATGATATAAGGTATTATAACCATTGTGCAACAAGGCACTGGGGGTCACATTTGCATCCCCTGCTTCTGCGACGGCCGCAGACGCCACTTCTTGAAGAAGTCCGGAGCTGGCTCCCCGGCCCACGTGAAAACCGAGTGTTCTGCTCAACGCGCTTTTCCGCAATGAAAACTCGGCAAAAGATGGTCTTCTGGCAACAGAACCATCACTGCCAGCAGTCGCCTGATTTCTGTCCAGGCTCTTTTTCAAATGAACCAGTCTCTTCAGCAGCGGCATAGGAGCCCAGGCTGGGGTCAGACAGCACGAAAAGGAAAGCCATGATGACGTGTAGGGTGGGCTGCATGGGTGGGCTCGTGTAGGGTGTGGTGGTGCATGGTGATACATAGTGGCATGTTGCATACCAAAGTGCATAGGGTGGTCTTGCATGGTGCATGGTGGTATTGTGCATGGTCGCATTGGGGAGTGAATCATACAAGTAGTATTACAAGGTGACCGATGATCCAGAGGTTGAATGAAAGAGAACGTCATCGCATGACTCAACAAAAACTCTACATGGGGCTGGGTTGGCACCTCGAACATAAGAAGCATGGCCGTGCACACATATGCTCATGGACGACTGATGCCAGACTCAAGGACACGCGCTTCAGGCTTCAAGCCATGCATGACAAGTCGACTACACAAACCGCATCAATGCTTTTGGGGGATGATCGCACTTGATGCTGCCGGCCGGAAGTGACTCAAGGCAGGACTGCAGTACACTGCAAACCCCAGGCACTCCAGCATGCGGCGGCCTCCTGTAAGATGCACAGCACACTAATCATTGATGCAGAACGCCAACTTCAGGGTTTCGGTGTTTCGGACTTAGGACGCAGGATTTTGGAGCTTTGGGTTTAGGATCTACAAACACTTCCGGAACAAGGTAGCAAGAGTATATCTGCGATGGCAGCTAGTCACACAACATAGAGTGCCGCGCATGCTGTTCTCAAAAGATGAACTGCTGGCCGATCCCCGCTCACACTCAGAGCACACTGGTTTTTTCAGAGGCAGAGTGCTGAGCACAGCAACCCTCCAGCCATCAGCAGATCGAAGGAAAGGAAAAGGAGGCTTCCATGGGTCGGATGCAAAATAGCGGTTAATTCGGGAACCTTGATGGTATCAGCAGGCGGTATGAACCCCGAACACCAACACGTCCCAATTAGAATGATTGATGCAACCAAACCACACTATGCTAAACACTACATACATATATAGATGTATATGCCACTCCGAAAACGAGAAACCATGAAAACACATACATACAGACAGGGCTCAGCTAGGACCTACGGTTCGTTATAAGACGATTTACAGGGTTCTAGCTGTTTAGGATTCGACGTATTGTGCTATGTTTCCTACTCAACCGCTACCCACCCACCCACCTATCATACCTAGACCGGCTACAACCATATGCAGAAGCTACCATATATGCGCCTCGGTTTGCATCCGGACCTAAGCCTGTGCTGCAGCCTTTGCAGCCGACTTGGCTTTCTTGGCCGTCTTATTCGCGGGACGTCGCTCCGAAGCGATCCTGAGCCGAACAAGAATCGTGATCTATTTTACGAATAACATCAAGCTTCACATGGATCGACTGTCACACACAATATAAGCTGCACATGCCAACAAAAAAACATCCTATATATATACATCTGAAGCAAGAAGCAGGCCATTCGCCACTCGAAGATGCTTCTTGAAACCCTCCACAAACACGGTAGCCTAGGAGGTGTCGCATGCAGTGTGCCGAGAGGCAAGGGTCAAGGTCTGCACACACACACACACACATACACTGCACATCGTAACCGAAACATCTGCCCAAGTCGCCTCCAGCAGGGCCGATTGCACATCGGCGGCCACTGGCTCTGTCCCCATGAGCTGGAGCTTCTTGCGACAAGCCCCGATGCCTTCGGCACAGTCCTTAATCTTCCCCATCAAAGCCTCCTGGCTCTCGAGGACCTCCAACCTCAGATTTCGGAGCAGATGCAACTTTGCACCGAGAAGGCTTTCCCGCTGAAACATGGTGTTCGCCTGCCTAGGCACTCTGCACACGTTTTCACGGCTTGCCCCTGGGCCGTGTTCGCCGCGGCCACCCACGACTTCACGAAAAGTCCAACGTTCTCTCCACTGCAGATCAACTCCATGTCGGATCCCTGCCCAGGCAGGCTATCTATCGAGCTGGGATATGTGCATGCATGCATGGGACTATCACGTACACACGACGCGTGTGCCTCCGGCTTCGGAACTTTCGCCTTCTTGGGCGGCGGCTGGGGGTCTTCCGTCGTCGTGCCGGGTGGCGCAGGCGCACTGCCTTTTCCCTTTGGAGCCGCCTTGCCGGGGGCCGGCACTGGCGGGTTCACCGAAGAAGTAGCCCCATCAGCAACTGGCAGGGCGCCGTTCATGGAGTCCAGCTGTGCCGCCACGGACGTGGCGAAGTTCGGGCAGACGCCCATGCTGATTGCGATTTCGTCCTCATTGTTTCCAACAGCACCGTGACATGAACTACTATACAACAGCATCCGGATCCGGACATGAGACAGTAGAAAAAGTGCCAAGACGCGATCGTACGAACCGTCAGGGTCCGTCGCTGGCGGCCGTAATATAGAAATGTCTCCATATCAGGATCATTCCGATCGCAACTGGTCCTGACACTTTCTGTTTTCATTAACTATTATGGAGCACACGGTACCCTAACTGAACTGCAAGACATGATCTTCACGCAACCGGTCCCTTTGGGCTCTGCTCTGCGTCTTGCAATGAAGGATAAGGCCTTCTGTTCGTTGCCCTCGTGAAAGGCGAGTATATCACGCCAGCAATAATATTCACCTGTGCATGACCACATCACATAGACCAACTAAGAAACCTTCCAAAAAAACGACACACATATTCGACAAACTCCCAGAAATATAGCACGGCTATACGTATATATATATATATATATATATATACATACATATGGATATACATTATCTTCTGTATTTCGTATATGCTATAATATGAGAAAACTTCAATATAGGAATATGCGGATCCACCTTCGTCTTTGTTCTCCTCCTCGCTCTGCCGGCGGAACTGGAGGGCACATTCCAAAGCCGCAGGGTTACCTTTGGGATGACGGGATCGATGAATACATCTTTACACTCTCAGACACACAACGTGTACATTAATAATCTCAGCTACAGAGTACACGAGGCTACGGCGATACCCGTCGTCATATAGTTAGTGCATATACAATAATATAAGCCTGGCCACAGCCTGTCAGAACAAACTTCTGGAACATTGCCAAGCGCTGCGGTCCGCCCTGCACCCACACCTTCTTCAACTCCACTGCTCCCGGTGAGTTCTCGCAAAAGCGTTGGAACGAGCGGTACTCAGTCCTGTGGGTGCTTGAGTTGACCACAGGTCCCGTCGGCGGGGCTTTCGTCACAGCGGTCTGCGGTGGCAAAGGCGTCGAAGGAGCAGGTCCTGTCGGCGGGGCTTTCGTCACAGCGGTCTGTGGCGGCAAAGGCGTCGAAGGGCTCGCAGTGCTCGGCGGCGGCAAAGGCGTCGAAGGGCTTGCTGTGCTTGCCGGCGGCAAAGGCGTCGAAGGGCTTGCTGCTGTGCTGGCCGGCAAAGGCGTCGAAAAAGGGCTTGGCGGCAAAGCCGGCTGCGAGTCGATGATCTTCGTCTTGTCAACGGCCTCGACTCCAGCAGCAGCATCAGGGGCTTTTGCAGCAGCCACAATGCTGGCCATGGTCTGCTGAATGGCCGCAAGCCCCGCTGCATCAACACCATGGCTCACCGCCGTGCTGAGAACCGTCGCCAGCATCGTCGTCATGGCATCACTCGTCGGCTTTGCTGCAGCTGCTGTCGTCTGCTGCTGAAGCGGCACAGTCGGCAACGGCATCGGCTGGGGTACTGCCGGCGGCCCCTTCGGCACAGGTTGGCTGATGTCGGAGTCGACGGAATCCGCATCACTGGTCAACGACAGCGAGCTGCTCGAGCGGTACCGCGACCAGAAGTTGCCATACATCGCCTTCTCCTGCAAGGTCAGCTCCGGCAGCGCATACTCATCCTGTTGAATGAGAAATACAAAGAAAAATCATGCCAAATTATTATAGATCGCAGAAAATCACAATTAGCTGCTTTGCATAAGGCTTGACATATCACGAACCATCACTGCTCTACGTGGTGAATGTCCTTCACAGCAGCAGCCTTCGGCTTCGTCCTTGCCGCACTTTTCGCTTTCGCCGTCACGGGAGTCGGCGACGGCGACGGTGCCTTCACCAGCAGTGCTGCTGACGTGTCCGGTGCAACCAAGTCCTGCGAGACAGATCGCATTTCGGTCGGCACCAGAAAACACACACAGAAAGAACATGTCACACTGCATGCATTATATTATGTGTCCCATACGACGGTGATACATCCTACACGTCGTGCGTGGTCTAGGGTTTAAGGGTTAGGGTTTAGGGTTTAGGGTGTATACATAGACCGGCCACGGACTCAGGTTTTGCGAATATTCCAGACAACATTAACAACGGAACCTGCCTGGGAGACTCGAGCCACCTTTGATGTGTCATCAAAGGAAGCAGCCGAAGCCAGTGTTGACACAGCGCTGCGATTCAGCCGGGGCGGGGGTTCGGGCGTGTCATTCACACTGATTGGCTCCTCCTGATCCATCTGCGTTTCAAGCTCTTGCACCATCTCCAAAATGGAGGGAGTTCCAGGCTGCTGCAGGAGCGTCCTTGCTGGCGGAAGGTTCTGCGGAACTGCACACGGAGCTGTCACCTCTTGCGGTCCACTTGCTGGCGGAAGGTTCTGCTGAACTGCACTAGGCGGAGCTGCCACCTGCTGCTGCGGTCCACTTGCCGGAAAGTTCTGCGGCGGATCTGCACTAGGAGCTGCCACCTGCTGCGGGGGGCCACTTGCCGGAAGGTTCTGCGGGGGCACTGCACTTGGAGCTGGCACCTGCTGCTGAGGGGGGCCACTTGCCGGAAGGTTCTGCTGCGGGGGAACTGCACTTGGAGCTGCCGTCTGCTGCGGGGGGCCACTTGCCGGAAGGTTCTGCTGCCAGGGAACTGCACTTGCAGCTGCCACCTGCTGCGCACCTGCTGGAAGGTTCTGCTGCGGAACTGCACCTGGAGCTGTCATCACCTGCTGCTGTGGTACACTTGCCAGGAGAAGGTTCTGCTGCGGAACTGCACAAGGAGCTGCCACCTGCTGCGGTCCACTTGCCGGAAGGTTCTGCTGCGGAACTGCACTTGGAGCTGTCACCTGCTGTGGCGGAAGGTTCTGCTGGGGAACTGCGCACGGAGCTGCCGCCTGCTGCGGTCCACCTGCTGCTGGCGGAAGGTTCTGCTGGGGAGCTGCACAAGGAGCCGCCATCTGCTGCATTCCACCTGCTGCTGGTGGAAGGTTCTGCTGCGGAGCTGCACAAGGAGTTGCTACCTGCTGCGGTCCACCTGGAAGGTTCTGCGGAACTGCACCCGGAGCCACGTGCTGCGGTCCACTTGCTGGAGGAAGGTTCTGCTGAGCTGGACTGGGCGGAGCTGCCACCTGCTGTTGCGGTCCACTTGCCTGAAAGTTCTGCGGCGGAACTGCACTACTGGGAGCTGCCACCTGCTGCGGGGGGCCACTTGCCGGAAGGTTCTGCTGCGGAACTGCACTAAGAGCTGCCACCTGCTGCTGCTGCTCTCCACTTGCCGGAAGGTTCTGCGGCGGAACTGCACTAGGAGCTGCCACCTGCTGCGGGGGGCCACTCGCCAGAAGGTTCTGCGGAACTGCACTAGGAGTTGTCACCTGCTGCTGCGGTCCACTTGCCGGAAGGTTCTGCGGCGGAACTGCACCAGGAGCTGCCACTGCCACCTGCTGCTGCTGCGCTCCACTTGCCGGAAGGTTCTGCGGCGGAACTGCACACGGAGCTGTCACCTGCTGCTGCGGTCCACTCGGCGCAAGGTTCTGCTGAACTGCACTAGGAGCTGTCACCTGCTGCTGCGGTCCACTCGGCGCAAGGTTCTGCTGAACTGCACTAGGCGGAGCTGCCACCTGCTGCTGCGGTCCACTTGGCGGAAGGTTCTGCGGGGGAACTGCACTGCTGGGAGCTGCCACCTGCTGCTGCGGTCCACTTGGCGGAAGGTTCTGCGGGGGAACTGCACTAGGAGCTGCCAGCTGGTGCTGCTGCGGTCCACCTGCTGGAAGGTTCAGCTGTGGAACAGCACCATCACGTGGCTGCAGCATCGTTGACCTTGTATAATCAGCAAGACTATATACTATAATCTAAGGCTATCCAGAACTTCTTAATTAATTCATTGAGAAATAATCTCTCTATACATATATATATATATATATGTATATACACACATATATTATATATGACATATATATGTTTACATAGGTATGTCAATATTGATCCGGCAAATACCACAAAGGGAAGCTCAATCCGCGGCTGCATTCTTATGTACCTGCTGTCCCTTTCCCATGGCAGTATGACAATAAGTAGCCTCCGGCACCCACCTGTCGCTTAATATGTAGTCCCCCCGAGCTGCGGGTTGCGCTCGCTTTTGTGTTTGTGTTTTGTGCCCGCAGGCACACCCAGCCTGTCCCCTGCGATAGCGCTTGCGATTTTTTGTGGTGTGCGTTGTGACCAGCCTCGCCGCTTCCCCTCCTACATATGTCAGTGGTCTTTTCCATGCAACGCGGTAGCGCTCGCGAAATTTCTGCGGTGTTGTTTTTTTGTGCCCAGGCTCGTGTGTTCCGATGATTCCAAGGGGGTAGCCCCCCCCCCCGCGGTAGCGCTCGCGAATTTTCTGTGGTGCGGTTTTGTGCCCAGGCACGTGTGTTCCGATTATTCCAAGGGGGTAGCCCCCCTCCGCGGTAGCGCTCGCGAATTTTCTGCGGTGTGTTTTCTGTGCCCAGGCACGTGTGTTCCGATTATCACAAGGGGGTAGGCCCCCCCCGCGGTAGCGCTCGCGAATTTCTGCGGTGTGTTTTCTGTGCCCAGGCACGTGTGTTCCGACTATTCCAAGGGGGTAGGCCCCCCCCGCGGTAGCGCTCGCGAATTTTCTGCGGTGTGTTTTCTGTGCCCAGGCACGTGTGTTCCGATTATTCCAAGGGGGTAGGCCCCCCCCGCGGTAGCGCTCGCGAATTTTCTGTGGTGTGTTTTTGTGCCCAGGCACGTGTGTTCCGATTATTCCAAGGGGGTAGGCCCCCCCCGCGGTAGCGCTCGCGAATTTTCTGTGGTGTGTTCTTGTGCCCAGGCACGTGTGTTCCGATTATTCCAAGGGGGTAGGCCCCCCCCGCGGTAGCGCTCGCGAATTTTTTGCGGTGTGTTTTTGTGCCCAGGCACGTGTGTTCCGAATATTCCAAGGGGGTAGGCCCCCCCCGCGGTAGCGCTCGCGAATTTTTTGCGGTGTGTTTTCTGTGCCCAGGCACGTGTGTTCCGATTATTCCAAGGGGGTAGGCCCCCCCCGCGGTAGCGCTCGCGAATTTTCTGTTGTGTGTTCTTGTGCCCAGGCACGTGTGTTCCGATTATTCCAAGGGGGTAGGCCCCCCCCGCGGTAGCGCTCGCGAATTTTCTGTGGTGTGTTTTTGTGCCCAGGCACGTGTGTTCCGATTATTCCAAGGGGGTAGGCCCCCCCCGCGGTAGCGCTCGCGAATTTTCTGTGGTGTGTTCTTGTGCCCAGGCACGTGTGTTCCGATTATTCCAAGGGGGTAGCCCCCCTCCGCGGTAGCGCTCGCGAATTTTCTGCGGTGTGTTTTCTGTGCCCAGGCACGTGTGTTCCGATTATTCCAAGGGGGTAGGCCCCCCCCGCGGTAGCGCTCGCGAATTTTCTGTTGTGTGTTCTTGTGCCCAGGCACGTGTGTTCCGATTATTCCAAGGGGGTAGGCCCCCCCCGCGGTAGCGCTCGCGAATTTTCTGTGGTGTGTTCTTGTGCCCAGGCACGTGTGTTCCGATTATTCCAAGGGGGTAGGCCCCCCCCGCGGTAGCGCTCGCGAATTTTTTGCGGTGTGTTTTTGTGCCCAGGCACGTGTGTTCCGAATATTCCAAGGGGGTAGGCCCCCCCCGCGGTAGCGCTCGCGAATTTTTTGCGGTGTGTTTTTGTGCCCAACACCTACCCACCCGCCCCCGCGTGTGCTATTTTTATGTGTGCCGTGGAAAGAGCAACCCCCGTGCTTATAGTGTGTGTGTGTCTATATATATATATATATTTATATTTATTTATGTATTATTACTGTTATAGAGTAGGAGGACAGGAGAGGAGAGGAGAGGAGAGGAGAGGAGAGGAGAGGAGAGGAGAGAGGATGGGGAGGATGGTAGTGACGCCGAATGGCATCTTCTGCCGCACCATCTCCTGTTGCTCTGCAGAAAGCCCAATCTGACCCAGCAGCAAAGCATCGATCGAGGAAGTCACTTCCTCGGATTTGTTTGCATACATATAGATATGTATATAGGAGAACATACCAACACACAAGCAATAGTGTGTGTGTATACATAGCAAGCATCGGAAGCTGCAGCCGCCGGGAGCACAGCCGGCGGTTTGCCGGCAGGTTTGGGTTTCCCCATCATCGAATTGCGAATCTCAAAGCCGTCACTACAGACTGCAATGCTTGATTTCCACACAAGCAGCACAAGAAACAAGGATGACTGATCCATCGCGAACCAATGCTGAACGAATCTCACAAGCTCCGAAGCACATCGGATGCCATCGCGAACACGATTTTCAGGGTTTTGGGTCCTACGTGTTGAGTTCACAGATTCTACGCATTTTCCCTTGTTTTCGACAGGTTTTTCACAGGTTTTCGACAAGTGTGTTTTCAGCATAATGATGGTGATCAAACGTTACTCGGATGTTATTTGCAACATACTTTTAGGTTTTGGGTCCTAAATGTTGAGTTCACAGATTCTACGCATTTTCCCTTGTTTTCGACAGCTTTTTCACAGTTTTTCGACAAAGGGTTTTGTGCCCTTGCGATGTCGATCCAACACACACACAGAATCATGAGATGCTATTTGATGATGTTTGTATGTTGCACGCTGTTGTTCTTGAAGTCCACATTTGCATTTCGTGACATCGCCCGGCAAGCACAACCCAGCATTGCCTTTCCCCAGGTTGCTGGGCTACAAACCTTTGCGATGCCCTAGGCAAAATCGCTCGGCCAGACCTTCGGCAGCCTTAGCTTTCCACTATTCAGCATAAAGTGCACCACCTGTAGCAGCGATGCCTGAGCTCATGCAATGGCAGGAGACGTACCGAGATGGTTTGTTTCTCTCAGTGCCGCCTAAGTACGTCCTCCTGCCAATCGATGGGCTCCGCAAACAGCAAGGTAATTTGTGCCTTCAAGTCGTACGTGTTGTCGTCAGCGGCAGCGAACACGTGTGGCCACGATTGCTCGTGGCATCCAGCACAGGATTCCTGTTTTTCTTTTTTTCTGAATGGGTTCCTCTCTGTGAACTGTTCTCAGGCCTCTAGGATCATCGAAACAGCCTCAATGCGATGTCTCCGTCAAAACTCAGGTTTAGCTAGCTAGATTACAGTAGAAGCCAGAAAGTTGGAACATGAGTTTAGGAGGATTAGTGCCCGTTTCCTTTACCTTAAGGGCATGAGGATACTAATGTTCCAACTTTCTGGCTTCTACCATAATCTATGGGATACGATACAAACCCTGATCAAGCAGAATCTGGAATCCAGTGTAGAATTGTAAACCTCCAAAGATGCAACGATCGAGTGGAGCCGACGATGGCTGATTCATCGCCAGCAGCCAGGGCCAGGCGACGTCCAGATTTGGATGGATGGATGGGCTCTAATAAAATGAGTGTATATGTATACATATGTATATATATATATCAGGGACATTATTTTGTGATTATTTTTATGAATAGACCCTAAGGCTCCATGTACCCTTATAGTAGATTGATACTTAGGCCTTAAAGTATCTATATAGGGAGTACTTTGGGGCTTAAGTATCTACTACAAAGGTACATGGAGCCTTTGGGAGATAAATGGTTAGTTGCATATATATATATATATATATATATATCTATATATATCTATATATAGTCAGATATCAAAGACGAACAGATAGATACAGCGGGGCTTTTATCAGACGAGCAGTCAGCAAGGTGTCGGCTTCGGGGCTCCAGACTGGGTGTATTCGTGTACTCAGTACATTAGTACGGGCTTGGGGGTGTAGGGGTATATAGTTGACAGCACAATAAAGCGGAATAACTATTGCATGGGTCAAGTTATAACAAACTTATCTCTCCAACTATCATTTGGGAGGGCAAAGTTGAAGAACATCCCCAAGTGCGGATGGATGTTAAAGTCTATATTATATTGCTTCAGGTTGAAAGAAAACTACAACCTGTAGGTTCAAGGTTCAGGCTTTGGAGTACGTATATAGAGGATATACAGGACACTATATGGCGCTCATATATAGAGGAAACCCCATCACAGTCCTATCCGCGTGACACCGAAGCCCGAACTCCTGCTATATATGCAGAAATACTCGCCAACGGACACCGAAGCTGCAGCAAACCGTACCCTAACGAAAAGCCCAGCATCAGTTTAATCGTATAAAGTCCATGATTCTGTCCTACCGGTTCCTCAAACATAATCGAGAAACTTCTACAAAGCGGCAGACCAACATCCCAGCGCAACCGGCGATATATAACCCGGCCCAACACTGATTGCTACGTGTAGGTCCCAGCGTCCTCGCAATTGGCAGCCGCCCAAGCATCGAGCACCGCTTTGGCGAAGTCCGGGGTGTATTGCCTGGGACCAGAACAATTAGTCATCGAATAAAACAGATGTGATTGTGCGGTTTGCAAGTGAAGGGCTCCGGCTGAAATACAACCATCGATGTGTCGGGAACTTTATTGATCAGGTTATCTCAACGTCAATTCTAGATCGAGGAAGTGCGTAATATTCATGGGCGAAACATATGCCGGTTGATCGTCGCAGAAGGCTTGATACTTGAAGTTTCGGTTTCCGGGTCGCAAATTGCGGACTTGAACTCTTTCTGAATTACGGAACATAACAAACTTACATAGAGGATTATAGGCGTAAAGTCCACTTGGAAGCAGGTCGCAGTGCCTTGTACAACGAGTTCGTCCATGAATGAAGCACGTACTTATGGTGCTAAGGCTTGGAGTTTGGAGATGTCAAAGCAGTTGATCTAGCTGCCCAACCCTTTGTATGCTGGACCCTAGCTACATGGCAAGAGAAAAACCCCTGAGT